TCGATGATTCATTAAAATTTTGCCGTCTTGCCAAAAGTCAAAATTGTAAAAAAAAATTCTGCAAATATGGATATTCCTTTAGTCCTTTAGATCTACTCCCCGTCATACTCACATTAATTTCGATGTTATATGGAGGCTGAATAGTACGAACAGGAACAAAATATCGGTTTCAATGGGAACGCTTGCGGCTTTGCCGGGCGTTGAACGTCGGGCCGGTCGGGCCGTTGTGGCTCCCACATAATCCCTGGTTCTGTTCGACAACCTTCTGGCCCTGGAACCCGCTCTGGTCCGCAGGCTTCACGGGGATCCCAGTCTGGTACGCAGGATCCACGGCATCGCCGGTGATAAGCAGCGCCGCCGACGCCAGCTGGCGCAGGGGAGTCGCCTGCTCATCCAAGTTTTGGCTCACATTGTCCCCTGCCTCGTGATGGATTGTCCAGCCCAGCATGGCTAGCTTCGTCTGGAGTTCCTGCTGGCTGGGGGTTGCCATTACGAAAACAGGCCAAATACTTTGGCGACAATAAACAATAAACCGGGAAACCAATTTCCAAAAATAATTCACAATAAAATAAATTTAATTTTTTCACTCTTAAAATTTTCTAAAAATTTAATATTTGGGAGGTGTTGACACGAGGACGGATCACGACAGAATGAATTTTCTAGGGCTTGGACTCAGGTCCTAAGGATTTTAAATTCGAGTCATGGATATCTTGATGCTACAGCCTACTTGGTGGGATATTTCAAAAAATTCGCTTACTAGGCACTTTTTAGTGTATTGCTTTACAACACTGGGGACTATTATTAAACCATTTTTAACACTGATCTCTATTATTTAATATGTATTATTTTAAATATTTATAAACCCCTCATGCTCCATTCTTTGGAAATTCCACTTGTCTCCAGGAATTCCCCTTTAAAAGATTCTTTATATTTGATGAGTCATGTTTTGTCTAATACTTTACAACACTTTTAATATTATTATACCATTTCAAACACTGACTGCTCTTGCAGATGGAAGATGGTCTATTATTTTAATTTTTATAAACACCTGATGCTCCAGTCCCTTGAAATGCCGCATGGATAGTTCTGGTCTCGTTCGTCCAATATTTGTTAAACACTTTTAATTTGCTTTGCTCTCGATAGAGCCAAAAAATGCACAAAATGTGCAAGGACCAAGGGGCGTGGTTTCTTGCCTCAGGACCTGCACTTCCTTTTGTTCCTTTTCGGCTTTTTTTTTGGGGGATGGGGAGGTGGGGGATTTTTTTTGCGGCTGGTGGCTTTGGCGCTTTATTTGAGTTACGTGACCCTGCGCCATTGAGAGCTGGAAAATTTCTTGCGACATGAACATGGCACACATGATGGGCGTATGCCCCCAAAACAACATGCAACATACGTACTTAACCACCCACCTGCCTGCCAGCCCCGATCTCTCCCCCTGCTTGACTTGTTTGTTTGTCTGTCTGTCTGACTGGATATTCTGACTGTGTGTTCTGTGTTCTGGGTCCTGTGTGTGGGTGGGATTCCTGTGTCCAACTGGCAGGACGTCCCCCCCGTCTTTGTCGTTGTCCTTTTGCCCCTTTCCATAGCCCGCTGTGCTGTGCGAGCTTGTTAAGTTCATTAAGGTTGAATAATAACAACAGTAACTACATTTTAAAGGAGTTGTCAGTTGTCAGGAGCGTGGCCCGTGCCCTCCGACTACAGTTGGGTCTGGCTAAGAAGGATGGTGTCTGTTGTTCTACAGCCAAGCCCCTCGATTTAATGGCCTCCATAGTATGTCGCCACTGTCCTCCACGTTTCGTGACGTTCAGGTGTCTTGGTGTGCACGCCTTGACTTCACTCATGTTGTTAACTGCTCTTATTACAACTTATTCTACTTATGCGCTCCTTGTTTGTCAACAACAACAACAACAACAAAAAGGGAAGGGCAACCTGTAAGCGAGTCCTTGTGGTCCTTGCGAGGGCCCCGTGCCAAGTTAAAGTTTTACATTTACATCGAGGCGGGCGGAACTCTTTATTTTTAACTTTTACCCACAGAACCTCGTACATGTAAGCACACATATGTATACCAAGTCTTTGGGAATTTTTTAATGGCAGGAGTGGGTGTGGGTGTGGGTGTGGGTAGGAGCTTAGTCTGCTTCTTTCCGAGGACCCAGCTTCCCAAAAAAAAAAAAAAGCATCTTCCGCCGGCAAACATGGGCCTGCGATTCCAGGACATGTGTGGGCAAAGGCAAACCCCAAAAAAAAAAAAATAAAACGAGATGAAAATAATCAAGTTTCCGACAAACATCAACATGACGCCAAGATAAAAAGCTTCCAGGATGCGCTGGCATCGCTCAGCCACTGCAGGACAAGATAAGACACATCATCAGGAGCAGCGGCAGGATACCACTGCGAGAAAACAGACTACCTCCAAAGAGGGCCCAAGGAAGAGCAGACTTTGTTGCCCAACGTTATGGATGAGATATTTTCGAGTGTAGAGATGCAGGACTACAAGTTGGTCTATTTCCAGGACTTGGCTTGAAATTGGCTGGCTGCTGCTTGGCTACTATTGCTCCAGGGCGGCAGCTGGGCAGAGAAGGGCTGGGCTGGGAAGGTCCTTCCCGGCTGCGGGTTCAAGTGTCAGCCTTTGCCGGCGAGGCAGCCTCAAGTTGTGTTCGTTTGTGTTTGCTTTGAAAAGTATATTGGATTGGCCGCAGCCGCAGAATCACATATGTATATACATATATCCGACTATAGCCAGAGATATATCTGTGCTATATGCTGACTGTCTGATATATATATATAGGAAGGGCGGTCTGCTGCTGACGTTGAAATGCTTCCACATCCTTTTGTTTTTAAATGTGTGGTCGAGCCAAGCCGAACGCAAATATTTTCCATAGTTTGCGGTGTGAAAAGTCCATCACTGTTTTTTGTGTTTAGATTTCCCCCCCACTTTTCCCCCCACTGACAAAACAAAGCCACTTTAAATGTTAAACAAAATTATAACTGAATTCATATAGGCCGGGGTGGCAAAAAAAGGGCCGAAGAAAAAAAGGTTAGTTGTCGAACAAAGGGAGAAATAGGGCGCTGTTTGAATTTCTGCTGAAGTTAACATTTTTATAATTCCATTAAGCGGCCGGTCCTGACTCCTGCCCCCCCCCATCCCTCCCTCTCGTGTGTAACACGAGGATAACCTGCCCCGGCACACACCCGGCCGTACAAAGTTGGTCCAAAAAGTTTCTGCATTCATAAATCATTTCCCTCTTTTTTCCAGCCTCGGCCTCGGCCTCAGCCTCACCTTCCTGGCGGGCTTTAAAGGTGGAAAATACTTTTCGCTGAATTTGTAGAAATTCCAGGGGTGTCGAGGGGGGGGCGCAAGGATATCCAAGGTACGCTCATGTTTCATATGCCACATTAGGTGGCTGGATGACTGGATAGCTGGGTGGTCTGGGGGCAACGTTAAGTTGCAACTTGTTGCCCGCTTGGGTTACACGATTTCTGCCAGTCGCTCCACTCCTTTTTGTCCTGGCATATCCTTGTCATTTTTAATTTATGCGCAGACCGGGTGCTCAACTTTGGCAAAACTTACGGGGCGACGACCAAAAAGGACTCCCAAGTAGGACTCGAGGAGCTCCTCAAGAAGGAGCCGGGGCCAGAGTGGGAGCAGGAGCCATATCATTGCGGTTTCCTAGTGTTGTGCCATTTAATTGGATCCTTGATCGGAAATGGGTTTCTTTTATTCAAACGGAAAAGGGTTCCGCCACGGTCCCTGCATATTTGAGGAGGAGTCTTCTCCAAGAAATCCTTCGAACGGGATGCCAAGTGTAGTATAATCGTAATTACACTCCAAACGTATGCACAGTCGCAGTTAGTCCCCCACTTGTCCCCCCCCTTCAGCGACTTTTGGATACTTTTGGGGGAAAACTTTTAATTTTGCAACTTTTGTCGCCCGGCTGGCATATGTCCTTGCTCCCTGCCAGCTTTGGAAACTCTGCCTGTGGCCTGGCAGTTGCTCCTCGATTGGTTCAATCTGGAGACAAGTCACTTGAGAAACTATCCCTCCACGAAAAACAGGGAGCCTGCATGTGTTATCCTGGCGGGATTCTCGCTCTCTCCAGCGACTCACAATCGGTTTGTTTATGAAAGTCGCCCACTAATTGCAAACAAAGGATGTGTAGTAGGTGCCAGGATATGAAAGGCACTGACAGAAGTACAGGACTTGCTACAAAAATAATAAAAACCAAGCTAGTATCTATTCGGCTTTACTTTTCTCGCAGTGTACGGCTGTGCATTCATGCATGCAGCATGTGGCAGGGGCGTGGGGCGTGGCAGGAGCAGTTCGGACATATCGCTTCGTTTTTCGTTGCGGACCCAGGACCGCATTTGCATTTATATGCACATCCTTTGTGCCCAAAGGATATTACATTTTTCCACTTCAAGCATTTTTGTGAATTTAATGAAATTTTTAATTTTTATGCGCGCCAGATGGACGCGGGGAGGGAGGGGGTTCGTCCTGCATCCTTCGTCCTTCGTCCTTGGCTCTTGTGCTGCCTTTCGGTTGGACTAACAAGCCACAGAGATATGCTGCATTTGCTTTGCATTCTCGGCGGGCAACTTTCCACGAAGATAAACAAAAAGCCCTCCTCCCCCTCCCCCCCTCTTTATCCTTGTTTTTCGCCTACAGCCAGGACCCCCCTCGCCCCGGGGGAGTATCCTTTTTGTGGCACAAAAAGTTGAATTGGCTTTTGGTTAGCACTTGTATTGCACTTTACACTGCGCTCTGGATTGCGGCCAGTGTTTCTATTTCGTTGGCTCCAGCCTGAAGGATACGTCAAGTTATAGATGCCATAAAGGATATAGGATACAGGATACACTTTCGATTCCCTGCAGAAACTGCATTAAGTTAATTAGTCCGATTGGGGCTTCATTAATCCTATCGGCCCCTGGATCGGACGAGGACGAGCATTACGGAAATTAGAAGTCGGAGCAGTTGCTCCTGGATAGCCAACTGCAAAGGACCTATGTTGTGGTGGCTACTTCTCCTGGCGGGGCTGGCCGAGGGGACCTTGCTGCCCGTGGTGCCCTACCGGCCTGTTCCTCTGGCGCGCGCTGCACTGGCCATCCTCAAGGAGCAGGTGAGCCCCTCGCAGAGCACCCTGACGGTGATGGAGCTCAAGCGAGAGGACGAGCACAGCGACCACGATGAGGAGGACCTCATGACTTCGGTGGTGACCGGCTTGGGGGACTCCATGGCACTCAGGATCTACCAGAAACTGCCCGACGAGATCCCGTCCAGCCACGTCCTGTTCCTGGTCCACTCTGCAGAGTCGTTTGGATCCTTGAACTTCAACTTCTCGGGGCAGCACAGCACGCGGGAGTACAACTTCCTGATCCTGCTCACTCGACGCATGTCCTCGCGACGCAACCGCCTCCAGGCCTTGCGGGAGATATCCAGGGCGTGTGTGCGTTTCCACATCCTCAACGTCATCCTCCTGTCCCAGAAGGTCAGCAGCGTGGTCCTCACCTACGGCTTCAAGATCTACAACGAGAAATGCGACCTCAACCTCAACCTGGAGCTGCTGGATCGCTACGAAGGAGGGGCCTTCCGGAAGGACCGCAAGGAGAGGACCTTCGACCGGATCCTGAGGAACATGTCGGGCTGCCCCTTGAAGGTCAGCTGGTACCCCCTAGAGCCGTTTGTGTCCTTTCGGGGGAACACCAGTGACCCGGCGGAGCGGGCCCAGACCTGGCGACTGACCGGCATCGACGGGGAGCTCATCAAGCTGCTGGCCGAGATCTTCAACTTCAGAATCCAGCTGGAGGAGCCGTGCGACAAGTGCCTGTCGCACGACATCAAGGACGGCTGCAGCGGCTGCTTCGACCAGATGATAAACCAGACGTCCTCCGTCTTGATCGGCGCCATGAGCGGCTCCCACCAGCACCGGGAGCACTTCTCCCCCACCACCGCGTACTACCAGAGCTCCTTGGTGTTCGTCCTCCACATGGAGACCCAGTGGGGGGCGGTGGCCCAGCTGGCGGTGCCCTTCTGCGCCACCGTTTGGGTAGCACTGGTCGTGAGCAGCGTCCTCCTTGTCCTGCTGCTCTGCGTCTCCTGGATGATCAGAGAACAGGGCCCGGCAGACGTCTCCTCCCACTTCCTGCAGGTGCTGACCACCCTGATAGGCAATCCCCTGGTGTCCTGGCAGCTGCCGCGCAGCTGGAAGACGAGGATGCTGTACGCCATCTGGCTGCTGGTGGCGTTGGTCCTCCGGGTCATCTACCAGGGCAAGCTGTTCGACTCGTTTCGCCAGCCGTACAGCAAGGCCCTGCCGGGGGACATCTCCCAGCTGATCGAGGGCAACTACACGCTGATTAGCCAGGAGTACCTGGACTTCTATCCCCGCAGTCTGACCGTCCTGACGCGCAACGGCTCCAAGGACCGCTTCGACCACATCCAGGCCGTGGGTGAGCACGCACGACTCACCACCACGTCCCTGATATCCAGCATGACCTTCTACAACCTGGCCAACTGGAGCACCAGCCGGCTGACCCACATCAAGGAGCACATCCTCCTCTACCAGCTGGTGATCTACCTGCGCCGCCACTCGATCCTGAAGTTCGCTTTCGACCGGAAGATAAAGCAGCTGCAGTCCGCGGGAATCATTGGCTACTACGTCCGGGAGTTCGACCGGAGCCAGTACAAGGTGTCCGCGGTGCAGTCGCACGAAGTGTCTGCCCTCCGCATCGAGATCTTCTGCGGCTTGTACTACGTCTCCGCCATCTGGCTCTCAGCAGCAGTCCTGGCCTTCGTCCTGGAACTGCTCAGCCTGAGGATCACCTGGCTGAGGCGATACTTTGAATGAAAACTGTAGCCTGAGAGAGAAATAAACGGTGTGGGGCACCTTTTCCCGAGATTTTAGGTCATTAGGACATTGTTCTGGGGAGCATTATTTTTATCTTCAATCTTCATGGAACTTCCTCGGGCATGGAGCTTTTTTCCCAGAAAGCCAAAGACAATGGGGGGCTGTTGGTTAGCCGTTTGGGCCACAAAAAGAGCAATAACACGGGTGGAGGTGAAGGGGCGGTACGGGCCACAAACAAAAGGCGGAAGGAGAAAAACAAGACATGTCCGACATAGAACGAACTCATTAGCCTACATGGCCGCATTTTCCGCCTACACACACACACACACTAGGGTGACTCGATGGGGTAGCCGGAGAGATATTATATCTTGAGGATATGCATTGTAATATTTTTAAGAAAGCCCACTACAGAGCACTGTTTTAATGTCTTATGTGTAACTTTTCATTTAATAAATAATATTTTTTCTTCAAACCAGGCCACCCTAGCACACACGAGTGGGTATTTCTGTCACAAAAGTGGCCATGGCTGGGGGCTGTGGGGCCAAAGGTCCCCAAATGGAACACAAATGCGCTCTGGCTTGTTGCAGCCGTGTGCTCTCCTTGTTGCTACACATATTTTGTTTGCTTAAATGCCGGAAGTGTTGCAGGCCACTGCTGGGTAAGGGGCAGTGGCAGTGGCGCCCCAGTAGCCTCCCCAGGAATGGCTGCAAGTAGCAAATGCTGTCAGCATATGTAGCATTGCATGTGCAAAAACCCGGCTCTTACTGTGATTAAAACCAATCATAAAAAATCTCTAATACTATTACTAATTAAAGATTAAGTATTTCGGCCTCTGCTCTGGAATTGGCATTTGAATTTGTGGCTTTAATTACTTGGGTGGGTTTCCGGCCAGCCAATGGGCGGACACGCCACCCTCGTCCCCTCCCCGGCGACGGAGGCTTTGGGCCAAGTTGACTCTCTGATAAGAACTGATAGCAAAGGTAAACAAAGGCCAGAAGCCAGAAGGCAGAAGGCAGAAGCCAGATGCCCTGATGCCCTCCATCGGCGGGCTTCTCGTTTGGCGGGAAACGCTGTAATTCGTCAGATACGATTTGGCCCAAAGCGCATGTGCTTGAAAGCCAGCGTTCGTTCGGCATTCGGGCCGGCTTTCGGTTCTTTTTGGCTTATTTATTCCGGCCTCGGGGCCTGGGTATAAGAGTGGCAAAACCAGTATATCTCGGCCGCATCGGTGACATAGAAATGTCGGGAAATTTATGCAAGATAGAGGCGAAGGTTTGGCCAGAGATCAGGATCGGCATAAATTTGGGAGCCTAATAGGCAGCCGAAAAGTGATTCTTTGTAGTCCAAGGTCTCTAAAGTGCACTTGAAGAAAATAAAGGGCCTAGAAATAGAGCTATGAACATGACCCACCATTAGAAAAGTAATACAAGCTTCCCAAATCATAAAGTTAATGCCAGACTTCTAGAAATGAGTTTCTTTTAAAGTTTACCTTCCGAAAGAAAAGTTTTTAAGCCCCTGCCCTTATATTTCTCAGTGCACCTCTTTTGGCCATAAAAAGAAGCACCACTTGGCCTGTCAGCTCAGTGGAAGTTCCCCAGCCAAGACACCACAGCGAAGATGTTGCCGAAAACCCTGATTCTGGTTCTGATCCTGACGATTGTCGTCTGCTGTTTCTCGGCAGAACTGCCCAGAAACGCTTACTTGCCGCCGTTCCTGAGCTTCCAAAGGCCTGCAGAAAGGATAACCGCTGAGGAGGCAAGCTACCGCGAAGGACCTCCATTGGAGAGCGAGGCTTTGGGAAGATATGCGCCGATCTTCCTGGACTTTCCGGCCCTTCAAAGTCCCCTGCGGCAACAGCAGGAGTACGCCCTGGACTTGCCCTTCGAGGAGAAGCCCCTGGAGTTTGACAGTATCCTGGCTGCCTTCTATTAGTCCTGATTGGAGGCCTAAGAATTATAAACATCCATGAAATGTGAGCCAAAAGTTGAATAAATTGTCGGTTTATTGAATTATTTCTTGACACACAACTGAGTCTCGAGTCTTAAGCCATCTTTCTGCGAGTGTAGCACAGGAGGAGTGCAACTTTGACTTTCTGGTGGTGAGTGCTGCATAACCGCAACTTAATCCCCGACCTGTCCTTAGCCGTATCAGAAACTTTTGCCTCGATCCGGGCTTGGACCCCCTTCCCCACCTCCTGCCCCAGCCCTTGGTAAGTCCTTAAATGTGTATGTGTGTGTGGGTGGGTGCGGTTTTAATCAAGTTTCGCCACTTAAGTTTGTGCTCAGGTGGAAAACACTCAAAAGCCGCCTGACCGAACCAACTCCTCCACTGGACTGAATCCCCTTATAGACTGACCTCCCCCACCCACCCCCTGCCCCTGCCCCTTTTTGGGCAAAGTTTCAAGAGCTTTGCGACGCGTTGTTGTTGCTGTTGCTGTTGGCTTTCTGGTGAGTTTCGCTTTTGTTTTTAATTTTTTTTTCCCCATTTTTTCTTCCCTTCTCAGGAGTTGTGTGTGGGTGGGTGGGTGTGTGTTTGGTTTGGTTTTTCGGTCTGATGGGTCAACCTGTTACACATCCGTATGCCGGGTATGTACATTGTTTGAGGCGACACCCCCGCCACACCTTGAGCTACTCCGCCATCTCCTGCCCCCCCTGTGAACTTTCGTTTGGAACTTTAAAATCAATTAAACTGAGTGCCAGCATGATTGGGCGAATTGATCCACTCATGTGCTTTCTAGTGTGATTAACTAAGCACATTCCAGATATTAAATTTCTAAAAGAGATTCTTTAATATTTTCAGATTCTAAAGGAAGTCTGCCTCTTTCCTATACTTGAAATTATAGAACATGCTTATACTCCATATATGTATGTACCATTTTATATACCTTTCTTAGCCAAAGTCAATTGTCAAATTGCTAGACCCCCTCACCCACTCCTACATACCCTACATACCCTTTGACATATGTATGTCGGTCTGTTTTGTTGTAAGCTTCATTATTTGCCAAGTAAAAGTAATGAGACTTTTGTTGCCCCGTTGTTGGGTTGCACACGAGTGCCTTCTATGAGTTCGCCGTGTTTGCACGCCCACACAAATACAATGTGCTCTGCAGAAAATAAGGTGCCACCCAGCCCCCAGACCCCACCACCCCCACCACACATACACACACACTATTGGATGTGAGAGTATCTGTGAGAGCTTATATGCGCGTTGGCCTTTTGTGTGTTGGACAAACAAAGGCGAACTGCGTTGACAGACAGCGGATCGTACAGTGGGTCCTACTTAGACTCCACCGAAGAGAATAATACTGGGTCTAGGTATGACTTTCCACTAACTATTTCTCCCTGTGTAGTGTCGCAATAATAAGCAACAAACTGGCAGCTGAGTAGAAGCATTTGGAAATGCAGGAAAGACCTGCTTTGGACTGCAGATAAGTCGCCTGGGGGACTCATAGAGGTCCTGGCTTTCGGCCAGCTGGCGATAAGAACCCGATAACATCCTTAGCCCTCCTGCAGACCCCCTGTTTGGCAAGGCCCTCTGCATAAAGTAGCTACTGCTACCATACAAGCCATAGGAAATAAATTAATTTTCATAATAATTGGTTCGCGCAGCCATCCTCCCTCCCTCCCGCTCCTCCCCCACTGCCAACCGACCAGGGCATTCACTGCATTGCCCGGGGGCCCTGGGCGAAACCCTTTTCGGAACTGGGCGCCAATAATAATAACATTGTTAACACAACGTGCGCATGTAATAAAATCGTTTATTGAATTGGCCATAAATTTTCGCAGCTACAACAGCCGCAAAAGGCAGAAAGTCAAAAGCCTGGAGAGTGGAAGGATGGAGGTGCGGAAGGACCTCGATACCATAGAAGGATTGTGCCTTTTGTGCGAAAGTTTAGAGAGAGTTTAGGGAGCGCATCAGGCCACAAGGCAAAAGGATAGACAGGAAAATCAAAAAAGGGGAAAAACGGCAGAGCCAACAGGAGGAGGATGATGGCATGGTGCTGAGCTAATACCTTGTGGGTAGCTCTGTGGGTGGCCCTGGGTCTTCTGGTCTTTGTGGGGGATATATTTCACCTTTCAGCTAATTCAGCTACTGGAAACTTTGCAGCTCTCCAACTTTGGAGTGCCAAGAGCTAGCTTAAGTAATTAAATTGCCAGCTTGAGAGCTTCGAGTGATCTCCAGCGTTGAGTTAAAATAGTTGGGAAACGAGTTCCAGAATCCGGGTTAAGAGGTCGTTTTAACAAAATTAAACAAAAATCAGATGAATTAATGCACAATGTCTATTATCTGGAGCAAGGATCTTCGAAGGACTCTGCATCCTTCTTTTGTTAATGCGGGGAATCGAGTTCCATTAATTTCCGACAGCTTTTTAAATGTCCAACATAAATTGCATGTACTGTCATTAATAAGCATAGGACGAGGAGGACTCGAACAAGGACTCCTTGTAGGACACTTGGCGCTTAAAATGTTTTCAATGCTGTTCAATAATTTCCCGCCAAAAAGGACATCGCCAAGGACATCGCGCCAAGGCGATGCGAGGACAGCGACTAATGAGCTTGATAAACGAGCCAAGACGAGAGCAGCCCGAAAGATAAGACCCCATCTACCCATCTCCCTCTCTCTCCCCCCCCCTACCGTTATTTAAAAAATGGCGCGCTCAATGAAGTGATGTGTAAATAACGGTATTATATTTCAAAAGGCTCTCCAACAAGGCTAAAACCCGCTCATCTTGGCTCAACGTTAGCCCCCCTCTCCGCGCTAATTATTGGCGAGGGATATGCAGGAGGAGCCCCCGGGGTGGAGGGCTTATCCTCGCCGAGTGGTACAAAGGACATTCCATGCAAGGACTTGCCGATGGTGAATAATGAATGGGATCCAGTTGGGCAACAATAGAGCCTCGAGAGGATTTTTGCGATGCTATTTAAGAGGAGCAAAAAATACTGCCTACGTCAAGGACACTGCGATACAGTCTAGTTGGACGGGAGGATCGAGGACCAAGGACCTTATACTCCATTTTTTGAAGGATAACTGGCATTAATACTTTTTCCCTCAGTGTGGCCACTCCACTTTAGTTGTAATATGCTAAACTGTGAGAGTTGACGACGCACAAAAGTGCGGCATGCCAAGTATGTGGCCCATTACACCCCCCCTCCCTGGATCCAAAGCCCCTCCATCCACCCCACTAATGTGGAGTGTATAAAAAATGTAAAGAAAAGAGCCCCGAACAGGGGGGAGCTGGGTCCAGGAGGAGGGGGGCTAAAAAGGACACAAAGCAAAGGCACAAACTGTAGCCAAGCACTTTTTGATTTATGGAGAGCCGAGCGGGACTAGGTTGGGGCACGAAGGATACAGGGCCAGCTCTATGAGGGCACAGTTTGGTCGGAAGTGTAGACAATTTGTTAGAATTTATAGAAAAAAATGCAGGCCGCCCTGCCCGAGATAGAACTACTACTATAAGTAATGCACCGAAAAAAAAATATCCCAGGATAGGATACTCCGAAATTATACCAAGAACTACCCATAGAACTCCCCCATCACCCACTGTATGGATTAGGGACGCAGCTTTAGAAGCTACTTCTATCCTAATATGGCAGGCATTTCATTTTTAAAGGAGCCCGGGAACAAAACAAATGCCTCGGCTTTTGTGCGAACTTGAAACTAATGATTTTCACTTACCACAGCGACAGAGGGAAAGCCGGGGGAAAATTTAGAGAGTCAGTCGGTCTCAGTAGAGTCTGGAGGATGGGGGGTTGGATGGGATGCCACACATGGCATCTTTCTGCACAGATTTACATGACTTTATGTCATTGTTGGTGCTTCTGGTCCCGTGCACCGCCTCTGTCTGTTTTTACGACGTCAATTATGTTTATGAGTGTCTAAACAAAAAGTCTTATAGGGCTGAAGGCATTCCCGTTTGTCCTTCCACAGGAAGTGTGTGGGGTAGGGCTCCAAGCTCCGGGTTCTGGGTTCTGAGGACTCCTGTCTCTGTAGTTTGAGTTTAAGTGAATTTATTACCATGAGCAAAATTTATTTAAGCAGTCAAATGCACGTGAAGTGCATCTCAAGAAAGCTGTCACACAGTTTGCCCTCCAACCCTACAGCTCCCCCTACTCGCCCCCTACCAGTTCCGGAAAGGGGGAGGAGTGGGAACCATGGCCAGGCTTCAGACAAATGCATGTGTGGCAAGAAGCTGTTTTTCTTTTTCTTTTTTTTTAAGGTATAAGCAGGACTAGGGTGGAGCTTAAAGGTTATAAATAATTTTAAATATTTAAGAAAATTTATTTTAAAATATTATATTTTAAGAAATGGATATAAAATAATATTCTCTCAAAGATCTTGTTTTTTTTATATGACTTACTGACCCACCCTACCAAGGACACACTTGTGCCAATGACTGACATCCCTCACACACACACACACACTCACTGGCTGACACACACACACACTTGGCTCAGAGCTATGCAAATTCAACTTTGTTGCTGCTTGAAGCAGTTGTCAGTAATTTCAGGCGAATGGCAGCCCAGGACATTTCGCAGAACATCAGCCTAAGGACATGGGGAAGCCAGCCAGCAGCCAGCAGCCGACAGTAGACAGTAGTAGACACCAGGGAGGCGGAGAAGCTGGATCAGGAGACTGGACGAGGGGCAGGATCGGCACAAGTTATAGAGGTTGCAGTGCCAACATTGACGAGGACAACTTGGTTGACGTTGAACCGCCGCTTCTCGCTCTCATCCTGTTGCCAGAAATCAAATCAAATTCCCGACAAACATCAACAACAACTAGCGCCAGGACATGTGATGTGTGCGAGTGCCAGGATAATCAGCATGATGGAGGAAATTGAACAACAAGTTCCCGATTGCATGTCTTGGCCAGAAATTACAATTTTTAATCCCAAATAGTTCGTTATCCTTTCTGTGATTAATCCTTAGTATCTATCTGGATTTCAATAAAAAGGACTCCCTTTTTAAAGCCCGACATCCAAAAAAAATACTCCACAAATTATTGAGGGACTATCTCCGGTAAGCCTCTTGCCCGATTTGTTGTCCTTGAAGCACCTGCCTGGGGGGCGGGGCGTGCACCTACCTATTTCCGCACGTCAACTGCACTTTGCATGAGTGCTCCGTAAGTGGGCGGTGGCTTATGGTAGGGCAGGGCAGGGCGGGGGCGTGGCTCACCCGCACTTGTGCCACATCAGCACTTCGACTCCTGACTCCGGACTCCGACTTGGTTGTGCTTTTCCACAGATCCAGCCGAATCCAATCGAGCGTCATCATTGGCACAGAGGCGGAGCTGCAGTAGAAGTTCAAGGGTTCCAAAGGGGGTTCTTCTAAAGTCGCTAACTTTTAAAAATCAAGGAGGAAGAACCGTGTTATATACTGTCCATTTTAGGACTAAACCCCCTAAGACCCCCCTAGAAAGGATTACCGGGCCCCTGCCGGCAGATCATCTTCATTATCTTCGGCATGGTTGGATTCATCGGGCGCACCCCTTTCCGGACCCCCGTCGTATCGGCTTCCCTGGCATGTCCTGTGTTTTGTGCCTTCTATTTTTTTTTTTGTTGTTGTGGCATTTCCACTTGATTTACAAAACTCGACGCAACAGCGGGGCGAGTGGTGGGTGGGGGCCGGTGGGGCAACTACAAAACCACATTTGACTGACTGACGACTGCCTGCCACGCCTCGCTCCCACCGCCAACCTCCTCCGCCCTAATGTCTAGTGTGTGGCCTGCTAGAGAGTTGATTTATATGCACGTCGATTCGACGTAATTGAAGACGTGATCGAAATTCAAATTTTTGATTTTTAGGAGCCGTGACTGGATTGGCATTTGTACGGGGACTGCCCCTCGTCTTGCTGCCACCCCGACCAGCTGCCACCCCAAGCACCGTTGCATTTTCCACCCACTTTTCATGGTCGCTGGGGCTTAATGTGATTTTCGAACTCGATGCCTTTGTCTTCGCTTTTGGTTTTTTTTTTTCTTAGAAAATTATTTTTCAATCTGTTTATTTTTTTTTTTTTGGCAACAAGTAGGCTTTCTTGAGACAATATTTTTTTAAAGAGGTCTATAGTTTATGCTCTTGGCTAGTGGGTTCTTTTTTTGGGCTTTTTAAACTTCATAGCTTGGAGACTGATGGAGTTTCTGTTAAAAGATATGGTCTTAGATCTTTAACATCCTGAGAGAACTCTATTCCATCATCCTCCTTTGTTATATTTTTTAAAGAGTATTCTAGGGCTTTCCTTTCCTCTTGAAAACTTTGAATTGTTTGTCGGCTTCTGCATTCCCACCGAATCGACTGAATCCTCTTCCGAATCCTCCGCAGAATCTGGAATCTGTTTCCCTCTCCAATCCGGAGTTTCAGCCTCGGCCTCGGCTCCGACTCCGACTCCTAGCTTGATTCCCTGTCAGGGCATTTCCATTCCAAACTTTGTTAAATCAGCCATGAAAACGGATTGTCGTCTGTGCACTTTTTTTTTTGCAATTTTTTGCTCATTTCATTGACTGCCTGACTAACTGAATGAATGAATGAATGAATGAATAAGGACATGGGCTGTGAGTGAGTGAGTGACTGAATGAATGAGTAAGTGAGTGGCGGGGACTGACAAAACGTGACCTGCTGTCATGTCTAACAGTTTTCAATAATAACGCCGTACCCCCCCTTTCTGCTTATTAACACTGCCTGTGGGGATTACTGCCGCTCCCCCCCTGCCCCAGACCCAACCTCAACCTCCTGGGCCTCACTCGTCGCCTTCCCAGCCTGACATTAACTTCAACACCTGTCTAGGGGGCGGGCGGCACTCACCCAGATGCTAATGGCTGTGTTGTCGACACTCCAGACATTTGCTGGCTTTATGTGTCACCCGTTTGTTGCTTTTGCCGGCCCACCTGCTACTCCCCCATTTCCAGCCTCCCTTCCCTGGCTCCTCCTCTAGACTTGGCCCTCATCCGAGCCACAATCTGTTCTGTCTTTGACAATCAGTGATGAGTTACATGTTCCACTTCAAGCACATTTCGCGATAAGTTCGAAATAGGATTCTAAAGAATGGAAATTTTTATGATTTTCAGAACATATCCTATCCTCAGAACCATTATCCTCTGGGTAGCATCCTTTATAGATGCCCCTTTCTCTCTGTGTACCTGCTTGTTTGTGTTGCCCCCCTTTTCTGGCTATGTACTGCTGGGCTGTTATCTTTCCTACGTTTGTGTTAATATTTACATAATTGTGGTTAAAAGTAGCTTTTAAGATGTTTTTAACTGGCATATGGAGTGGAGAAGCACATTCTTCGTTACCTTCATTTCTGTTGCCATTTTGTCAGTTTTCAGGCTTTTGTTTCCATCTGCATTTAATGGCCCACCGCCCCCAGCTCCCCCCCTAACTGGGCTGACAAATGTTAGAAACCGTTTTATTGCCAAAATCTCCACAGCCCACCCATACCCCCTCTCAAGCCCCTTAATGGCTTGACATTTTAATAAAGAGGAGCGAAGCATTTGTGGGAGTTGCGTTCACAGGCAGTTGAGTTCCCATGGCTTTCAGTTCGGTTCTGGATGTGGATATGGATGTGGATGTAGATCTGGATCTGTTTGTTTCAGCCACACGCACAACAAAAGCAGACATTTTTCACTATTTACACACACTGCCAGGCACACACTCACATACAGAAATAGTGCAAATATTTTTGGCAAACCTCAAACATTTCATTTTGCATTTTTCACTTACAGTCTTTTCCTCTCTCCAGTCTATTTTTGTATTTCATATTTTGCTTGGGCATTTTTTTGTTGGATTTGCGTATGAAATTTGTTGGCAAAATTGTTTGGGTTTTAAAATATTGAAGAGCTAAAGAGCTGAAGAGCCAGCTAGTCCCGAAAATATACATATATTTACAGAGCTAGTGCCCAGGCTCCAGGCTCCAAGAGCGGGGGAGCTATCCACACATCCGTTTGTGCTTAGTTAGCTGGGGGGAATGTGGCTCCGAAAAATGTTTGCTGGTTTCTCCCAGAATTCCCAGCTTCCCATCCCGCCCTCAGTTCCACCATTCCTTTTGGCCCTGCTGGCCAACGTTTACATTGGGTTCTCTCAGTGTACGGGGCGGGGCCGGGGCAGGGGGCACTTGATGTGCTGCAACTCTTGTTGTTGGCAGCCACAGAAACTTAAACTTTTGGCAACTTGTTTCAACGCTTCCATCAGGGCGAATCAGGCGGCGTCAGGGGCCAAGATCTGTGCGGGCCGGGCCGGGGGTGGCGGTCAGCCGCATAAAGCAGCATTGTGGCCAAAAAGCAAGGCTCAAAGCACGGCAGCAGCAAGTGATAATGGCCGGGCCTAAACGGTAACGGATTAGCAGCAAAAAAGGGAAAGTTTTCGAAACTTATTCCCCCCCGACCCACCGACCAGAAACTTGGTCAAAACATAATGCTTTTATTAAAGTCCAGAGTCCGGCAAAGTAGGCTTATTGGCCAAAAAGCAAACAAGGCAGGCCCAGGCCCTGACCTCAAACTTCATACGCTCCAGGGCGTTCCAGGCTCAAGTCTCAAGTCAGTTCTCACTTCTCAGCCGGAGCGGCAACCGTATCGTCTTCCAAATAAAATAAAATTTTAATAATTTCGTACTGATAACCGGAATAACAATTTTTCGATAATGAATCGAAAGCCCCGCAAGATCGGGCCCCCCGTGTGGATGCCGCTCTTCATCCTGTTCCTCTTGTTCATGGCAAGTGTGTGGGGTAAGCCACAGCGTAAGCAGATTCCCGGCCAGGATACCCCAGCTAGTATTAACCCTTATCCCCCACCCGCAGTGATGGTCAACCGCCAGGGTCTGCTGGACATGTATCATACGCAGGTGCATGGACGGGGCGACCTCGTCTGCTCGAAGGGTGGCTCGAAGTCGAGGTGCAGTCGCGGTGGGAAGCGCGATGATCTAGATATGAATCGTAGGATCTATCTCGCTCTAGATTCGACTTACTATTTTTTAATAATCATTATTCCCTAGCCTTCAAAGCCTTTCTGGAATGGCCCGGAAAGTCACAAGTATCTAATGATAATCTGGGCAGCTTCGATGACATCAAGCTGGACTTTGAGGAGGACTTTCCCAGGAGCCGCCCACGGGAGCGCAACCTTTTCGACGATGATTTGATCATGGATCACAAACTGGAGTCATTTGGGAAACGCCAGGACATGGGGCTGGGCCGCGGCCCACAGAGGGTCAAGAATCAGGCACGTTACACGGGAATGCAGAGGAAGCAGAATGGTAAGTTCCACCGACTAGCTAGTCATTTGCATTAACTTGACTTGATCCCCCAGGAGGTCACCGCAGACGGTTGGTCAACAGCCCAGTGATGGACTTTAGACGCGAGTTTGCCAGCGATGAGGCCAACCCCTATGTGGAGAACCTCCAGCAGCGCTACAATCCCTCCCCTTACGACTAAACCCCCACAAGAATCAAGGATCACCTCGTTATAAGTTGTATATTTTCTAGAAAGTGGGAAATTTTAAATAAAGTGAAGCTAGAGGGCCTTCTGCCCCGAGCTGATAATTGTTGTTCGAGTTAAAGCCAGAGTCTCATTAATCCTACATCACTTCATTGTCCTGGAAGTCCTGGGCAGCTCAGTTGCAGCTGCCAGTTCTGAGCGGAAAGTGAAACGAAAAGTTTGATCGGTTGGTGATTCGAGTTCGACTGGCGCCCAGGCCAGGCCATCCTAGTTGGACAATTTGGGGCAATTACCGGGCGATTAAAGAGTTTTTCCACCGACTGGCGAAAGTTTTTCCGCCCAGCCCCGAAAGCCAGCTGGCGCGCAATAAACGCAATCAAATTTAATTTCAACAAATTGCTTTTGAATTACGCGACCTTCGCTGGCGCCGTTCAAACGCAAAAGAGTTGGAAAGTTATTATTATTTTAACAATTTTCCCAGTCTCCCTCCAGGGAAACTCACTTTCCCCCTCCTTTATGTATTTGGGTGTTTGTGTTGCAGAGCAATTGCCACAATAACAACAGCAATTTGCGCTTGAAATATTATGGAAAGTGGCAAAGACTCCGTCGGACAGGACAGGCATAGAGGAGGAGGAGGAGGAGCTGCCAGCATATACGTAATCATAAAAATTGTGATTCGTGATTCATTCGTCCAGACACCGACACAGATCCTGCACACAGAGGAAGGATATTAGATGGGGTGGGGGGAGTGTTAGAGGGCCCATTGTTTGGCTTTCGAAGCAACATTCTCTGACTCTGACTCTGGTTCTAATAAACAATTAATTTGATTGGAAGCCGGAATGCAAACTTTTCACTGCAAGAGAGTTGGCAAAGGCAAATTGGATTTGGCTTTTTTCATCCAAGGGAGTACTAAGGGGGAGTGGGGAGTGGCATGTGGTTAACATTTCGATTTTGATCGGATGGTTTTTGCGAAAAAATAAAGCAAAGTCAACCTGCTTTGTGAAAGTTTTTAATAAACTGTCAAGCGCATCAACTAGATGACTGGTTTATATTTTATTTCGGTTTCCGGTGCACAGTTTCCGGTTTGCGGTGCATCCATTTCCGTTCTCTGTCATACGTATCCCTGAGCTAAAGCTGATAATTAAGGCTTTGATGCTGGTCCACCGATTGTTATTCGGAGGTAATTTACATGTAAACAATTCTCTGATCCTGTTTGCTGGCTGCCCAGCTTTCTTTTTTTTATTATTTTCCATTACAGTTTAAGCCATCATCAACTGACAATTGTGCAGCTCTGTGTTGTCCTTCTCGGCTTGCATTTGCATTTTTCGGCCCCCAAACCGAGGGCGGGGCTCAAAAAAGTCAAACTAATCTAACAACTGCTAACAATAAGAGAGAGAGCCTCGCCCCCGAGTGCCCTCTAGCCTATCTCTATTTAGCGGACCATCTAACGCCAAGGGCATCCCCGGAGCTCCCTTCCGGAGATGGGGCTTCCCATCTTCCTTCCTGGCTTTGTGCAAGTTGTTTTTAACAAAGCATTTTGTAGCTGGCAAATGTATCTGTGTATCTGTGGATCTGTGGATCTGTGCATCTGTCTGTATGTTCGTTGACAATTTTGCGTTGTCAGTTGTTGTTTTAATTAGAAAACTTTTTTACCAAAACAACAAAAGCAGCAAAAACTGAAAACAACCAACAGGCAACAACCAAACTCAAAAAACGATTTTAAACACCACAGAATTTTCCGTCTGCTCGCTCTGCTCCGGCATTTGTAGTATTTGCATTTTCTATTTTATTTTCAGATCCTGCCCCCTGCCCTCTGACTCTGCCTGCCAAATGAATAATGAATTTCTCTTCATTTTCACATTTTGGGATTTCTGTGTTTTTGTTTCTCATCGCAGTCAGTAGCAGCAGCATACTGTGTACTTGAATTACTTATCACAAAATTCATGAGCTTCACATAGAAACTTATTTGAGCCACTTGGCACTTCAATCACGAGCCATGTGCCACAAACTATGTAAGTATCTCCGATAGCTATAGCCTATAGTAGTTCTTCAATCGCGCATGTTTTCCAAAACCGATTTCCTTATTTTCATTATCCCTTTAGGATTCGAGTCGAGTGTGCTCCCATTTAGTCCTTTCGTTTTCGTTTTTGTGTTTGTGTTTATTTTGCAAAATTAAATCCAACGTTTTAGTTTTATGAGGCAAAAGTTGCTTTGTTTGCTGAAAGAGAAGAGCCAACCGCAAAGCCAACAGCCTAAGACAGAGTTCTACCGACTTTGGGATGCTCTTCGTCTATAAAAAGACTTGAAAAGGATCAAAAATACAAAAAAGACAAATCTTTAGATTTAAATGTAAAAGAAAGACATATTCTTTGCATTTTTTAAAACACCACTTAACCCTTTCCTAGTCCTAGTCGCATATCCTTACTGCATCTTCTCAGTATCCTTTTTATCAGATAGAGAATGAAACTAATAACACTGCATCCAATGATACGCAAACACACAGGACACAGGACTCGGGACAGAACAGAATGGACTGGATGTGCCAGTGCGGTTTGTTGTCAATCTCGTTAGAAACGAATCCTTTCGTAATCCTTGTGCTTCAGCTGCACCATTTTTTCCGCCCTTCACTGGCTGACGTCATGGCCAGATTCATCCACCAACCAGCCCACCAGCCCACCAGCCCATTCGCCCACTCCAAACCCCTCCTCCATACTGGTGGTTCATGCGTTTTTGCTGCTTAATCCGCTGCCACTATCAAGATGAGAGTGCTGCAAATAAAGCGGGGCGGAAAAGCCGGAAAAATGGAGGAAAACCCGGGCAATCAGCAGCTCAGCATCTTGGCCAACTTGCAGCGTTTCCAATTTCAGGGCGACCACTGCAAATCCCCACATAAGAAATTGTTTTCGAGTTATCTTTCATTTTCCGCCGCTCTGGCTTGCTTTTCCTTTATTGTTTCTACTCCAACCGAGGACTCGACTAGAAAAAAGGATAAACAGGATAACTAGCAGCAATGCCTTGTAATTATTTGGGCCAGTTAAAAATCGCTGAAGGCTCCTGCCCTGCCCCTGCCCCTGCCCCTGCTCCCAACCCGGCAAAACAAATGGCAATCATTACTTATCTCGCCCCCACTCGACTCCGACCTAAATATGATTGATGGCCTTGTCGTCTTACGTAATCGCTGTCGTGTGTGGGTATTAACCCCCTTGAGCTCTGAACCCGCCATCACTTTCCAGGTGTGTCTCCTCCGAGTGTGGGTGCGTGCCGCCAACACTCTTTGTTGCCTTTTTCCTTCAGCCACTGACGTGCAGCCATCACAAAGCTGTTAACGTGATTTCTAGATAATTATCAGAACATATTCCACGGGCCCTGTGCCAGACGGAGCTTTCCGTGACGGAGATTTTAGAGCGGAGTGGCATTCACTCAGTATGTTCATCTACAACTCATTTAAGGTAATCCTCTAAAGGATCCGAATGGAACTAGCTGAGATATACATATACAAATATGGGTCGTTTGTTAAAAAAATTTATATAAATTCTAAGAAATGTTTTCTTTTCAGGGTTTGATGCAGAATGATAGCAAATTGATCCACAAATCTATTGAGGTATTCCCCTCCAGGATCGGATAAGAATTGGCGAAGATATACTCATCCCAAGGGGTCTCAGGGGGAAATCCTGGATCTTGCAAGAGGATACACCAGAAAAATTTGAAAAATATCTAAAAAATATTTTGTTGTCGGGTTTTGATGCAGAATGATAGCAAATTAATCCACAAATCGATTAAGGTACTCCTCTTAAGGATCGGATAAGAATTGGCGAAGATATACTCATCCCAAGGGGTCTCAGGGGGAAATCCTGGATCTTGCAGGGGGATCCCCCAGAAAAATTTGAAAAATATCTAAAAAATATTTTGTTGTCAGGTTTTGATGCAGAATGATAGCAAATTAATCCACAAATCGATTAAGGTACTCCTCTTAAGGATCGGATAAGAATTGGCGAAGATATAGACATCCTAAGGGGTCTTAGGGGGAAATCCTGGATCTTGCAAGGGGATCCCCTAGAAAAATTTGAAAAAAATCTAAAAAATATTTTGTTGTCGGATTTTGATGCAGAATGATGGGAAATCTATCCACAAATCGATTGAGGTATTCCCCTCAAGGATCGGATAAGAATTGGCGAAGATATACTCATCCCAAGGGGTCTCAGGGGGAAATCCTGGATCTTGCAAGGGGATCCCCCAGAAAAATTTGAAAAAAATCTAAAAAATATTTTGTTGTGAGGTTTTGATGCAGAATGATAGCAAAATGATCCACAAATCGATTAAGGTATTCCCCTTCAGGATCGGATAAGAATTGGTGAAGATATACACATTATAAGGGGTCTTAGGGGGAAATCCTGGATCTTGCAAGGGGATCCCCCAGAAAAATTTGAAAAAAATCTAAAAAATATTTTGTTGTCAGGTTTTGATGCAGAATGATAGCAAAATGATCCACAAATCGATTAAGGTATTCCCCTCAAGGATCGGATAAGAATTGGCGAAGATATACACATCCCAAGGGGTCTCAGGGGGAAATCCTGGATCTTGCAAGGGGATCCCCCAGAAAAATTTGAAAAAAATCTAAAAAATATTTTGTTGTGAGGTTTTGATGCAGAATGATAGCAAATCGATCCACAAATCGATTAAGGTATTCCCCTCAAGGATCGGATAAGAATTGGCGAAGATATACTCATCCCAAGGGGTCTCAGGGGGAAATCCTGGATCTTGCAAGGGGATCCCCCAGAAAAATTTGGAAAAAAATCTAAAAAATATTTTGTTGTCGGGTTTTGATGCAGAATGATAGCAAAATTATCCACGAATCGATGAAGGTATTTCTCCCAAGGATCTGATAAAAATTGGCCAATATATAGGTATGATTGCGGACCATATATCCAAAGAAGTTAGAAGCTTAGATCCCTGGTAGCCCGGAAATTTGTTCAAGTGTCCAAAGTCTATTGGAAGGT